TGTGCCAATCCAAAGCCAGGAGCCAGGAACCTCCTCCAGGTCTCCCAAATGGATGCAGGAACCCAAAGCATTGGGCCATCTTCAACTGCCTTCCCAGGCCACAGGCAGGGAGCTGGATGGGAAGTGGAACAGCTGGCACCCACGTAGATTGCTGGCACTTGCAGGAGGAGGATTAGCTATGGAGCCATCGTGCCAAGCCTGGGAAGATTACGTTTCACTTTTGAACTTGTGACAGGTGTTTGGGTTTGGTGTTGTAGTGTTACACTGTCATTTGTGGCACCAGCATCCCTTAGAGGCACCGGTTCATGTCCTGCTTGCTCCCCTGCTGACCCAGCGCTCTCCCTGCTAGTGCGCCTGGGAAAACAGGAAAAGATGCCTCAGGTGCCTGGGCCCCTCAGCCACGTGGAAGACCAGGTCCTTGGCTTCAACTTGGTCCAGCCTATCTGTTGTGGCCACGTGGGAAGTAAACTAGTAGGTGAAAGGTTGATTCTCTTTCCCTGCCTTTCGAATAAATAAAGTAAATCTTTTTTTTTTTCTTTTTCTTTTTTAAAGATTTGCTGGAAATTGGGCCCAATGCAATAGTCCAGTGGCTGAAGTTCTTGCCTTGTGTGTGCCGAAATCCTGTGTGGATGCCAGTTCCTATCCTGGCAGCTCCACTCCTCATCCAGCTCCCTGCTTGTGGCCTGGGAAAGCAGTTGAGGACGGTCCAAAGCCTTGGGACCCTGCACCCACGTGGAAGTGGAGTGACTGGGATATGAACTGTCGCCCCTAGAGAATCCCGGCACATACAGGCTAGGACTTTGCCACTAGGCTGCCGTCCTGGGGCCAAGTAAAGTAAATTTTAAAAAGGTGGGGAGGAGTCCTGTTTATAGCTCTTACGTAGTGGCCTCGTTTCCTGTAAGGCAGCTATATACCCTGAATGTTTGGAAGAGAAAAAAATTAAAAACTTCCTTTTAAAAGACTAATGAAAACTGATGTATTTGAGATCTTCAGTCTACTGCTTCATTCTCCACACAGCCACAAAAGCCACACGGTGGAACAGCGGGGACTGGGACTTGGCGCCAGCACCGTGAGCAGTACTTCAGTTTACTTCCTTAGAAGGCAAAGTGAATGCCCAACCCCAAACTCTACCAGGTCTCCCGTATAGCTGGTGGATCCCTGCCTCCTGACCATCATCTCTGCACCCAGGTGCATCAGCAAGGGGCCTGGACTGTCTCCCAGCACCCAGCTGCGGGATGCCGTCGCCTCCAGACACCTTAGGTGTGGGATGCCATGGCTTCCTGGCACCCAGGTGCGGGATGCCGTCGCCTCCAGGCACCTAGGTGTGGGATGCCATGGCTTCCTGGCACCCAGCTGTGGGATGCTGTTGCCTCCAGGAACGCAGCTGCGGGATGCCGTCACCTCCTGGCACCCAGCTGCGGGATGCCGTCACCTCCTGGCACCCAGCTGCGGGATGCCGTGGCCTCCTGGCACCCAGCTGCGGGATGCCGTGGCCTCCTGGCACCCAGCTGCGGGATGCCGTCACCTCCTGGCACCCAGCTGCGGGATGCCGTGGCCTCCTGGCACCCAGCTGCGGGATGCCGTGGCCCCAGCACAGCCTGTGGGTCCACAGCATCCCTCTTTGACCATCCATGACTTCCTTTTTCCCTGTCAGCCTTGTCTTCTAGCTCTCGTGGCTTCCTGTTGGCTTAGGTGTGTATTTAACCTGCAGGGCAGTTGCCCACGGCCCAAAGCAGAGTTACCTGGTTTCCATTGCAGTTCCAATTCTAGCTTCCTGGTGATGTAATAGCCTTGTCCTCCAAGAGGAACCCAGTGAGGGCCTGCAGGCGTTGTGTTTCTATCTGTTCTGTAACTTGGTGCTTTCCTCGGAGCTGGAAGTGAAGGTTGTTGCTGGCTGTGGGCAGCCCCGGCGGGAGCTGAGACAATTCCACTGTCCTGGTGTCTAGCGCCGAGTGCCCAGTTTGCTTCAGTTGACCTGTGGCCAACTTCTCTCTGTGGCTGTTGTCGTCTTTACATTTTTCTCTCTTCCCTGAAATGGCTGTCCTGGCACCAGGGGTGTTTGTGTGTTTGTGGCTTTTCCACCTTGGAGGGCTCACTGCCTGTTCCCACCCAGCTGCACCCTTCTGTACCTTCTGAATGTGAATACCGACCCTTCTCACCTCGCTCTTCCAGAGTAGGAGGTGAAACCTTCAAAACCTTTTTTGTCTTGATTGCCTGCCAATCTCTGATCCAAACTCCATGGTTTGGTTTTCCTCAGTGTCTCCGCTACCCCTAGCCAAAACTGTTCTGGGGAATGTGGGGCGGGGAGCAGTGCCGTGGTGACTTTCATCTGTGTAGACTGAAGTGCAACTCAAAATGGGTAAGTGTAGCCTTCACCCAGATACTTTTAAGAAACCGAAGCCTCCTCCCGGAGGAGGCGGAGATAAGGAGCAGGTCCCCAGGCCTGCAGAGATGGCATTTCCTGTCCCAGGGAAGAGCTGTGATGACCTCACCCTGGGCCCCAGAGAGGCCGGTCCTCTTTGTCCCGGAGAACAATTCGTCTATTCTGAAGTCGCAGGAGCACACACTTGCTCACTGTGCAGAGGAGAAATGCGTTCCCATTGTTTGTCAATAAACAGCAGATACATCTGGGAAGCCCCTTTGTTTAACTTTGCAACTTAAAGGAGGAAGAGACAGAGAGGACCTGGGGTGTGCCTGGGCCTGAAGAAAGCTTCTGTTACAGCCCCTGTCCCACTTGACCGGGGCAAGCAAATGGCAGCAGAGGGAGAAGGGACCAGAAGGAAGGATGCTGACCATCATGGCCATCACCCTCAGCTCTTACTATTTTTTTTTTTAGATATTAATTTATTTAGTTGATGGCAGAGTAGGGAAGTGGGGGTTTGGGGTGGACATCTTCCATACCTAAATGGCTTCAGCACTTGGGGCTGGAGTCTCCTACCTCTGGCTGGGACCCACGTCCTTGGGCCTTCTGTTGCCTTTGCAGGCGCGTCATCCGGGAGCTGTATCCAAAGTGAAGCAGCTGGTAGTGGAACTGGCACCCGTGTTGGATGCTGGTATTGCAGGCAGTGGCTTCTCCCCAAACCTGGGCCACAGCCCCACGGTGCCAGCCCCACTGTAATAAGAGGATCCCAACTGAGGCTTCTGGGCTCTTGTTTGGGAAGGGAAGGTGTGCAGGCCGGCTCCTGGGGGAGAACTCGCCAGTAAAGGCAGAGGGAGGCACGCACTGTGCGTGCGGAGGGAACCTTGACGTGAAGGATTGGCAAGAGAACAACATATTGTGTGGGCTTTCAAAGTTCTCCTGGTGCTTCCCAGAAAAGGACCTGTCTGGGAAGGCCACTGTCTGCAGAGGAGGTGCTAGTGTGACCCCGGGTGCCCCAGACTGTAGAGAACTCCCATCAGGCTTTGGTGCTGGGGTTCTCTCTGTCCTCACACCTGCTTTTTGGGCACAGTGGTGTGTCCCTGACCCTTGGGAAGTGGGGAGGGCCACATGGACAAGCCGCCTGGCCTCCTGGGTCTCTGTCCCCCTGAGTCTGTTCCTTCCAGTCTCTTCTCCCTGGGGGACACCTTCCTTCTTGCCCGCCTTCTGTGTACAGCAAAAAACCTGGGAAACTTGACCTTAAGGAGAGCTGAGACAGCCTTCCCTATAACGGCACTTTATTCTTCAAACACTGTCCCCTCCTGTGCCACCCCTGCACTTACCTACCTTCTGTGTGGGCGCAGAGCGCCGGGCCTGCACGTGTTGGGGACTCATGGCCCCGGCCACTCTGTCGCCTCACTACCTCCACAGTGTACCTTGGCACCAACAGCTGCCTTGCCAGGGGGTGCATTCATGCCTGTAATTGGAAGAAGGTGCCTAATGGATAGGGCACGATCCATGTCACCACGGGCCCTGGTCTACATGGGTACACAGCTGGGCCCAGTTGCTCTGTAAAGTAGGGAAGCCTGCTTGGCCAGGCAGGGGTGGGCAGATACTATTTGTATGGAAGGCAGAATTGAGGAGGGAGAGAGGGAGGAAGAGAGAAGTCTTACATGTTCCAAATGGCTTCAATAATGGGCTGGGGCTGAGCCAGACTGAAGCCAGGAACCAGGAGCCTCTTCCAGGTCTCTGGCTTGGATACAGGGCTCCAAGCACCCCTCAGGCCCTTAGCCTCACGGTCCCTGGACACCCCAGGGACCCCCTTGTTTTCAAGGGCAGGTTCCAGCACCGTGGCTGAGATGTATCTCTAGAGGCCGGCGTTGTAGTTTAACTACTGAGTTCAACTGCTGCCTGGGATACCAGCAGCCCATGTTGGATCATCTGTCCACATCCTGGCTACTCTGCTTCCATTCCAGCTCCCTTGCTGCACCTTGTGTTGGCAGCCTCTCAGCTCAGGGGTCCTGCCATGCCCTTGCTCACTCAGAGAACCCATAGTCTGATACGCACCTCCAGTTCTCTGGACTTCTGCCACTGGCAGCAGCCAACATGGGCCTGCCTCAGGTTGACCCGTGTGAGGATGGGGCTGGATGCATCTTGGAAATATCAGACCAGGCAGAGCACAGACATTCCTGTGGGTAACTGGGTTCATATGTGACACCCCAAGCAGGCTAACTGGGCCTGGGGAAGGAAGGGATGATTGGTGGGTGATAGTGGAGGAATCTGGAGTGATGCAGGCATCGTGAAGTTAGCCAGGCAATGTCTGTATCTGATGGAGGTGGAAGCCAAACGAGCAGTTGACGTTAGCCATGTGACGTGCATGGCAGGTGACTACAGAGGGTGGTCTCAGAGCACTGCTGTTGGTGGTGTATCTGCAAGAGCCCATCCCGAAGAAGTCTCAGGACCTCTGCCATGCCACATGCCTTGATTTCCGTGTGTGTGTGTGTGTTCGCTCTTGAATCTCTTGGCAGCACCAGTGCCCCATGTTTGAGTTTGAGATTCCAATACCACAAAGTGGGTTGTGTGCCCTGTGTCTGTGTGATAGAAGGTGGGCTGGCCACTCAACGGTGTTTCCTCCTCTTTCCAGAACTTTCACGATGGGCGGAAGGCGCAGCAGCATATTGAGACCTGCTGGAAGCAGCTGGAGGCAGTAAGTGAGAGACGTGTGTGTGCGCGCGCGCGTGTGTGTGTGCGTCTGTGCAGTGGCTCCTGCCTGCGTGCTGTGGCCACCCGAGGCGGAGTAGGCAGCAAGCCCAGGGGGAAAGTGGTGTCCCCATAGGTTTTTCCCTCTGGAATTGGATTTGCCCCCAGAACCATCTGTCTAAAACATGGAGCCCGAAGAACTCTCACATTTTACTAAAAGTCCTGCGGTCAGAACCCTACCAGAAGTTAGACTTGGTAACTGGAAACAGACACAGGTCTGAAGGTCACTTCTGGAAATTCCGACCTGGAGCGAGTCAGTGCCAGGGGCCGGGTCAGGTCGGACGCCTCGCTGCTCACGGACACGTTCCCGGCTCGATGAATCACGTCTGTCCTCCCGTTGTTTTCCTTCGTGTTACAGAGTAAGAGGCGATTTGAGCGGGACTGCAAAGAGGCCGACCGAGCCCAGCAGTACTTTGAGAAAATGGACGCTGACATCAACGTGACCAAGGCTGACGTGGAGAAGGTGAGGGCACGCATCTCTCACTTCCCCTTCGGGCCTGGCCGTGCCCTGGGGTGGGGTCCCTCTTTATTGCAGGGAGCTAGTGGGGGAAGCAGGAACCAACCTTGCTGGAAGCTTCCATGCTAGGATGCAACGCCTCAGTGCCACCGTCTCCCACTGGGCTGATGGTGCTGAACAGGTAGTCCTGGGGGCAGGGCCTGGGCAGCTCTGACTTTGTGGCTCTTCAGAGAGAAAAGGGAGAGAGAGAAAAGGGAGAGCCAGGGCGGGCGGCTGAGTACCAGGGATGTGCAGGTGCACAGCAGGAGGTGGCCTGAGAACAGATGTGGGTTGGGGATCAAGCGTGTCGTGAAAAACTGCAGCAGGAGCTGCTGCTGTGTCCACACCGGCTCAGAGGTGTGACGCTTTACCTGGTGGGTCAGACACCCCAAGGATGGCCGTTGCCACTGTCCTGCAAACACACGGTGACAGCGCATTCTCCTCACTGCCCGTGGCTCTGCAGGCTGACCTGGCCCGCAGAGAGGCCCTTGCCTTCTCCCAGGCCAGAGGATGGTCAATCATTGCTCAATTCTGCACAGTTCCTGTCCTAAAGACTAGATATGCTTTTCTCTAAAATTACATAATATGTCAGAGTATGTTGTCTCAGGCCTGTGTGTGCCTTTTGGGATCCCAGCATTCCATTATGGAGCACCAGCTGGTGTCCCTTGCTGCTCCGCTTCTGGTCTCGCCCACTGCTCATGGGAAAGCAATGGAGGATGGCCCAAGTGCCTGGTCCCTGCCATCCACATGGGAGACCTGGAGAAGTTCTTGCTTTGGCCGGGCCCAGCCTCAGCTGTTGTGGCCTTTAGGGGAGTGGACCAGCAGGTGAAGATCTCTCCTCTCTCTGCTGCCCCTGAGCATGACTCCAGGGCTGGGATTCCTGCCGCCCACCGCCCACCGGGGAGACCCAGGCTTCAGTCTGCTGCCTGGCACGTCCCTGGCTGTCGCAGGTGTCAAGGAATCAACCACTAGATGGGATTTCTATCTCTCTTCTCTTCCTTCTCCCCTTTTTTTCAAATGAAAAAAAAATTTTTTTAAGTATAATGAGATTGAGTCAGAGTGTATTTAGAAAGTTTTTTGGGGGCCCAGCGGTGTGGCCTAACAGCTAAAGTCCTCGCCTTGAACACATCAGGATCCCATATGGGCACTGGTTCTAATCCCAGCAGCTCCACTTCCCATCCAGCTCCCTGCTTGTGGCCTGGGAAAGCAGTGGAGGACGGCCAAAGCCTTGGGACCCTGTACCTGTGTGGGAGACCTGGAGGAAGTTCCTGGCTCCTGGCTTTGGATTGGCACAGCACTGGCTGTTGCGCTCACTTGGGGAGTGAATCATTGGACGGAAGATCTTCCCTCTCTGTCTCTCCTCCTCTCTGAACATCTGACTTTGTAATAAAAAATTAATAAATCTTTAAAAAAAAAGTTTTTTTTGGGTGAGGGAGGTAGCAGTCAGTAAATATACATGGATATGTAAGGTAGACTTGTAGTTTTTTTGGTGTTTTTGCATCCCGTTTATTTAGCACAGATGGGTTCTGCTGGTTTGCTCCCCAGTTGCTTGCAACTGGTGGGGTTGGGGCAGGACAAACCAGGAGAGCGGACCTCCCCTGGGGGTGACAGGGACACTCACCTGCTGCCTGGTCCCTCAGAGTTCACCTGGGGTGCTCATGGGGGAGGCCGGTGTCCCAGCCAGCAGCCCAGCCTACTCCGAGACTGCAGGCTGCCTTCCGAATCTGGTGTTTCTAGTCCGTCCGCCCCTCCACAGAGATAGGCTTAACTTCTCCAGTCTTTATGCATTTGGTTGCTTGTCTTACCGCACTCTATGGGTGAAGCCCTCCGTTTGTGGGGTGAGAGAGCCTCGGGTGGTCCCCGGTTAAGGCTGCTCTGTAATTGTGCCCTGATGGAATATGGAATTTCCCCTCATTTCCTGCTTGGCTCAGAGCTGCTTTGTCGGGCTTGATTAGTATTGAGGATACCATTAAATACTTCTTCCGCTTCCTTTAATTCATCAATGCAGTAAATTATGTTAATCAATTTTCTCACAGAAAGCCAAATTAGCCTTCCTGGGAGGCATTCAACTGCATTATACGTGTGGATTTATATACACACATAAGCTGCAGGTGCTGCTTAATGTTTTACTAACAGTTCATGGACAGGATCCATCGTCTTAGAACTTGATGTGTAATCTTCCTTTTTCCATCCCATTCTACTTTCATTTTTGAGATTTGGGTGTTTCCTATCTCATCACATCTTCAAACTCGTTAGCCAAAAGTGCATCGCAATGTTTGCTGTTTCCATCATGTCCTCCCTGCTTTCCCTTGATACTGTTTATGTTAACCCTTTATTTTCTGTGCATGTGGTTCTCCTCGCCACATGTGCGTGTGCAGACATAACATACACACGCACGCGCACACACACACGCACGCACACTGTACATGTTTTATTTCAAAGGCAGAGACAGAGAAAAAGGCAGATTATTCGTCTTTTCTGGTTCTCACAAGTCTCTGCCACAGCCCGGGCTGAACACAGCCAAACCTTGGAACTCAGATCTCTCCCAGGGCCTTGCACGTCGGTGGCAGGGGCCCAGTCCATGAGCCATCCCCTGTTGCCTCCCAGGGCCTTGCACGTGGGTGGCAGGGCCCAGTCCATGAGCCATCCCCTGCTGCCTCCCAGTGCCTCAGCGGGAAGCTGGACCACCAGTGGCACAGCGGTGATGGAACCCCAGGTACTCTCCCATGTGAGGCTGGGGTCCCAAAGGACATCTTCGTTTCTGCTCAAACTCCTGCTGGCGGATCAGTTTTGTTTTTGCTTTTAATACAAGTGATGGGAAGCTCTCTTCCTCTCTCTTTTATGATTTACCTTTTTATTTGAAAGGCAGAGTTATAGGGAAAGCAGAGAGCTCTTCCATCCATTTGTTCAAATGCCCACAGCAGCTGAGTTGGTGCCAGGCTGCAGGCAGGAGCCTGGAACCCCATCCGGTTCTGTCACGTGGGTGGCAGGGACCCAAGCATGCGAGCCATGCCCTGCTGTCTTCCCAGTTGCACTAGCAGGTAGTAGAAGGGTCAGACAATCTGAAGTGATGTGCTCTTCACACACACCTGCCCCCCCCACACCTCCCTCACTGCCCCTCTCCCCCCACCTGCCCCTCTCCCCCACTGCCCCTCTCCCCCCACCTGCCCCACCTGCTCCCCGCCCCCACCTGCCCCATCCGGGTTCCTCTCTGTGAGCCTTTGTGGGCCACTGTTGGCTGTGCTCTTTGTTTGCACTTGGGGGTTTCCATCCTTCTGTGAAGATCTTTGGTGATGTTGGACCTGGCCATTGTGAAATAACTGACCCAGTTATGTGTTCCGTGAAAGGTGGGGTGCAGAGCCAGCACTTCCATGCTGCCTCTTGGTGTATGCTGGGGGGTGGGGGGAGGGCAGGCGTTCCCTGGGCTCACCACCAGGCTGAGAGGCGCACAGGAGTCTGGATTTGTGTCAGGGCCACATGGATACTGTGAGTTCAGGTGTTTTGTGGCCCCAGGGATTAGCAGGTGGCCATGTGCTCCCCCTGAGGTGGATCCTAGAGTGGCGCAGCTGAAGTGTAACAATTGCTTGACTTCCTACCGGCTGGTCTGCAGAGTCAGCCTGCTGTTTTCAGCTCCTTGACTGTTTTCACAAGATGTGCTTTGTTGTTGTTGTTGTTCCTGCAAGAGTATCTTTTTGTTTCCTTTCTGAAAGTGCTGGGCGTGCCTTCCCAGGGTGTAATGTGTAATATATCACCCAGTTTTGGCATCATACCCATTGAAGTGGATAGCGCAGTGTCTAAACGTTGAAATTCTTCAGTTATTTTGCTTTCACTTAAGAGTGGAAACACTCTAATTTCCCCCAAACACAAAGCCATTTGACTGTTCCTTCTGTTTTTGACTTCATTGCCTGGGAAGCCGTATGCCAGTATCCAGCTGAGTTAGTGTGGCAGTTCTTAGCATTGCTTCTGTATAACTTCTGGTTACATGCGATTTTTTTTCCCCTCCAAATACGTTCAAAGAACTCCAACTTCTCTTTCTTTGAAATTTTATTTGAAAGACGGAGTTACAAAGAGGGAGACAGAAAGAGATCGTCCACACACTGATTTGTCAGGCACATCAACAAGAAGCCCGATCAGAAATGGAACAGCCGGGACTTGAACCCCTGGCACCTGTACAAGATGCCGTGTTACAGGCAGTGGCTCAGCTTGCTGCACCACACCGCTGGCTCCTGTGTCTCGAGGTCTAACGAGGTGTCTGGTCCCCGTTCCCACAGGTGATCAGGTTGCCTGACCTCATTCTGTGTGCCCCTCCTCCGTTTTCCTAGCACTCTGGCGGCAGCTAGGGGGTGATTTGGGGTGATTTGATGGGAACTAGAAACTTGCAGGTTAGGGTCGGAGTGTGCCCTTCTTTTTTCTCCTTTTCTCTGAGAAGAGCTGAGTGTCCCGTGTTGGTGTCGGATCTCCTAAAGCAGTCCACAGCCCCTTGCCCGCCCCCATTGGTGGGCTTTGCTGCTGTGTGTTCGAAGCGGCGGGTGGGCAGATGGGCCCTTGAAGCATCCAGTTTAGCTGTAAAGTGACTGTGTAAAAGGAGACAAAAAAAAATGGGTCTTGGGGGTGCTCTCTTCCCCCAAGCAGGAGAATTCATACAAAGTTTGGGACCACCAGGCACGAAACACTTTTCCTCGCCTGAGATGCAGCTGTCCGAGAGTTGGGGGACTTGTTTAATGTTTGTTTTGTTTGTGGGGCCCAGAGCGATGGTTCAACTGGCTCATCATCTCCCTCCAAGCAGTGAGGTCTCACATGGGCACCAGTTCATGTGCTGGCTGCTCCAGATGCCATCCACTTTCCTGGTGAAAGCAGCAGAGGATGGTCCAAGTCCTTAGGACCGCGCGCTCATGTAGGAATGTGGGAGAGCCAGAGGAGACTCTTTTGGCTTTGGATCGGCTCATCTCCGGCCATTGCGGCCTCCT